AAATAAAGTGCCTTTCTTGTAAAATAATACTAAATGTGAAAATTATTTTATTATTTCAATACAAAAATACAAAAGTATTAAATAGTATCTCAACGCCAATATTTGAAAAAATTATATGAACATTGTACTGACCTTTTAATTTCGCCGGCAGTAAACTATAATTTAAATTCGGACACGGACTCCACTGTAAAGTGCTCATAAAACATTTTCTTTACTTCCACTGTGAAAAACTGTCAATTTTCAAGAAATACATTTCGATTTATAACCTTTATAATCTGTGTTTATAAAATAAAAAAATTTGACATTTGACGGTGACACACAGATTCCCCTATTGTTTAATAGATAGCGCTCTATACAAATTTTTGATTTAAATCATTTTAAGATAATAATAAATATTTGTCGTAGAAAAAGTATAGTATGCACCTCGTTTAAAAACTTTTCTATACACTCATTAATTTAAGCACTCGCTCGCAATCTCGCTTGTGCCTAAATTAAATTCGTGTATAAAATGGCATTTATCAAACTTGATACAAAATAATATACTATTATAATATATCTACTCCTACATTGACGAGCTGTGGCTTTTCGACATTTTAGTCACGGGCTGAAGTTAGCTTTATTATAAATTGGGAAAAAGTGAGGTTAAATTCGGGTGACAGTTGACAGATGTCAAAATTTTAACAAATAAAATTGGCTTTAAATTCTGTTTTGTGTTCGTCGTAGATAAAGTAGGTATATATATATATATATATATATATATATATATATATATATATATATTATGCAACTCGTTAAACACTCGCATGCAAGCTTCGTGCTTAATTAAACTCGTACCTAACTAAAATGGCGTTTATAAAACTTGATACATAATATAATATTAAATTCTAAAACAAATGCAAATCATTTATTAAAAACTCTTGTATAAAATTTTAGTTTAAACTACTCACATAACACAAATTGATTATTTTAAAATATTTTGACAATTAAATTCAAAATAAAACACAGTTTTGCCAACGTAACCCAATCATGGCCTGTCGCGATTTGTTTAGAAAATTCATTTGTATCTGTGGAAGTTTGACAGAAGTGTCAAATTTTTTTTATTTGTTAACAGAATATGCTAAAACTGTGCTCCCATTCATGGATCTTAGTAATTTTGTGAGTTGATTCGACTATTTGTTTTTTGAATTATATATCATGTGCGTCACGTATTTGTTTAGGAGGATTTTTTATTTGTGTAAAGTTTCCGAAATAAATTCGATTATTTTAACGTGTTCAGTGGTTGGGATGTGCTCAAAGTTTTTAGAGTTTTACGCCTTAAAATGTAAAAGTGAAACATTGATAATAATTTTGTATTTTTTCTTTCAGAGACATTATTAACCAAAAGCTTAGTTGGGAGTTTAGGGCCCGGGCCAGCGAGGTGTATGACGACTTCGCAGCGACGTGAGTCCACCTGTTATAGGTAAAATATCGACATTAGAAACCGAAAAACGTGGAAAACATGGTAATTTTTTAGGACAACAAAATTTTCATCCAATAGGCATCGGAAACTCCAGCCATTCAGGGAAACGTGACGGTTTTTTGCAAATCAACACCGTACAGGGAATCGCGATACTGTGAAGACTATCGAGGCCCAAAAACGCTGCCCCCACGTCAAAATATCAAACATTTTTCATCGCAAAGTCATCCGTATTGGTAAGCAAAAATTACAATCAATGTATTCCTAAGCATTTTTTTTCGAACGCAACTGTAGCAAATTCCAGTGCGAAAAAGAGTTTTAAACAGTATTTTTTTACCAAAGGTACAAAATAATTGATAATAAGTTCTCTTAAAATGTTTCTTCAAAGAAAAATTTGTAAAAACCAAATAATACACTATACATTAATGTACAAAAATATAAATACAGCTAAATACCTAATACCATTTTAAATTTAAAAAAATTATAAATGGTATAAAACCTGTAATTCTTGAATTTTTTTAATAAATAAAATATAAATATTAAATATTGTACCACTTTAATTTGAATTATCTTAATTTGGAGGGGCTGGAGGCTGGGGGTTGCACTTAAAAACTAACTTTTTTTCGCAAATTTTAATTTAAATTCTGCTTGCGTAGAACTTATCTATATAATGTCATTATAAACTCATATAAATTTGATGTGGGTCCCATGTCTAATAACTGAGATATGAGTGTGCCAAAATCCACCAGCCGCCACTGCTTGGTACACTTGGCAAATTTTGCCCCCTATACAAAATATAAGCAAGGTACTATCGCTAACAAAAAAAAACTCATACAGCTATATTGTGGCTGTGTGAATAAAACTTTTCCGTCAATGTCAAGCTGACATCGAGCAGCTCGATTCGAGCTTTGTCACATCCATTATGACTTTTTTAACATTTTTAACCAAACAATGCAGACGAACTCTGGCAAGCCATTGAAGCCATTTGGAACGAGATAAAGCAAGACGGCGACTTCCATGCTTTGCCGTTTGCGGGCAGTAGTTGACAAAAACAGAGGGATGACGAAATATTATTTTTTTTTTCAAACTTTAACCTAACTTTGTATTTAATTTTAGACCTTTCAAATGTGACGTATGATGTAAAAAGCCATAATTACTCCAACGAAATGATAGAAAATCAGGAACACTAGATTTTTAAGCTGTATGAGTTTTTTTTGTTAGCGATAGTATATGTGTGGAAGTATGTGAGTCACATAATGTGACAGAAGCCACATATGTGACAGTCTGTCAGGTATTAATAATTTGTTAAAATATATTTGGCTAAAATTCGTTTTATTTGTAATATTTACTAGAGACATCTAGTGTGAATAATAAAGTTTATAAAAAACTTAAACAGTGTTCTACTTTAAAATTATTTTAGTCCTATAGATGGCTCTTGCGCATGCTTCTGTCACTGACAGAAGCATGCGCAAGAGCCATCTATAGGACTAAAATAATTTTAAAGTAGAACCATTGAGTAAAGACACTTTACTCAGTGGTAGAACACTGTTTAAGTTTTTTATAAACTTTATTATTCACACTAGATGTCTCTAGTAAATATTACAAACACATACTTCCACACCTATACCGCTTATTGCCTATATTTTGTATAGATGACCTTGTTCCCGTTTCTAAGGGGAAATTTGTTCTCGTAGTGTGCCATTTTCCTTTATGCGCATAGTCAGTTCATAAGTGGGGGATTTAAAATATATAATACCATAGACATCACATAACATTAGATAGAGAAATTAATACGTCCATTTATGATACGAATTGTCAACTAAACAAAATTTAGGATATATCAAATTTTTCTAAATTATTTGGTTCCATAGCCTGGGTTAAGCTTACAAACATTTTTGTGATTTGGCTTTATAAAAAGCAAAAAGTGGCATAATATGCATATTATGTAAAATCCACTAAAATCTCATTAAAACAATGGAAAAAAACAATGCCAAAACAATTGGTATACAACAAAAAACAAACAAAATTGATAATTATAATAACCATCTACATTTTTATATGTCTTCCATAAAAATCTTTTGGCTATGATACGATAATCGTGATCAAAATACGATGTTGCCAAATTTTTGCTTTTATAAAAATGCCATTATAAAATCTAAAATATCATAATTTTTTGAGTTTATTATTGTTAAATGCTTTTTTCATACAATTTATATCCAATTTATTAAAAAGTATTTATTATACTTCTTAAATAGGGACAAAAATATGTTATTTTTTTTAAAACCGGCAATGCAGCTGACGCATGCGCCTCAATGCCCGCTACCCTGTGAGAACATTTCCCCTACTTTACCCCCACGAAATGGAAACAGTCTCAGTTAGAAATGATTTGTATATGTGTGGAAGTATGTGATTACAAACATATACTTGTGTGGTAAGTATATGATTACAAATAAAACGAATTTTAGCCAAATATATTTTAACAAATTATTAATACCTATACTTATTTGCAATCGAAATTATTTGTTTTAAGCACGGTCCTATAGGTATTAGACCCTGGATTAAATGGAGTTATTGCATCAAAAATGAAAATCCCTAAAAACCTTTTTATTGTAATCTAGAGGTAAAAACACATTGCGAAAATATTTTTTTATATTCCAAAAGTTCAACCCGGCCCCAAAATATCAAATTGAAAAAAAGGTACTTTTCAAACGTTCCGAACTCCCGCCATATTGCATGACGTCATAAGCTTCACCAGCTGTCAGAAATCAAGATGTCAACAAATAATAAACACCGATAAGTTTATGTTTAACATGGAAAACGCGAAACCAAAAATTGGTTGTAAATATTGTTTTGTGCCTTGTTGTACAAATACAACCTGGAAAACTCCTGGGAAAGTTGTCCCTTCAATTATCAAAAGCAAAGTTTATGACCCTACACTGAGAGTAGTTACGGCTCAGCCGTATTTTCTTGAATTTATTAATATTTAACATACCTATTCAAACCATATACCTAGTAAACGACATTTTATTTTACTTACATTAAAATGATCCTTAAAATGAGCAATAAAATGGTGACGATGTTTTGATATCGCGCCGAGCTATTTTAATCCACTTTATCCTTATTTTCCCTTTTGGCACGGTGATAAACCTTTTCCCAGGAGTTTTCCAGGTTGTATTTGTACAAGGCACAAAACAATATTTACAACCAATTTTTGGTTTCACGTTTTCCATGTATAAACATAAACTTATCGGTGTTTATTATTTGTTGACATCTTGATTTCTGACAGCTGGTGAAGCTTATGACGTCATGCAATATGGCGGGAGTTCGGAACGTTTGAAAAGTACCTTTTTTTCAATTTGATATTTTGGGGCCGGGTTGAACTTTTGGAATATAAAAAAATATTTTCGCAATGTGTTTTTACCTCTAGATTACAATAAAAAGGTTTTTAGGGATTTTCATTTTTGATGCAATTACTCTATTATAAATGTTATACATACTATTTAAGTTAGGCAACCATAATCTGTCAAATGTGAATTGGAAAATAATTGAGGTTAAAATATACAATTTGATGTTTGTTGTTTATGCAACCTATTGCGTTTAAATATTATTAAGTTTTAAATTACATTTATTAAACTTTAATGTTTAAATACAGTAAGTACTCAAATTCTCTCAAAAATCGACAATAATTCTTGAAGCTTTAGGTGATAATGTTTCAAGACTTTAATCAAGGAGATGATAACAACTCATCTCACTCAAAAAGCAAAAGAAAACGATCCCTGGACAGAGATGTCGACAATTCTTGTCAGATAATGGTATAACAGTATTTGTGATCAAAAATAATGCTAACATTTTAAAATTTACAGGTGGACAACTCCGAAAACATATTAAAAACACTGAAGAATTTGTTCCATGAAAAGCAAATGTGTGATGTGCATCTTAAAGTTGGAATAAAGATTTTTAGCGCTCATAGGCTTATATTATGTGCCACTAGTGATGTGTTTTATGTGAGTAAAGAAATTAAACTAAAAAAGCTGAAACAATGTAGGTACCACCCATTTTACCATTTATTAATTGTCCATGTCTCAAGCAACTTTGGTAAAAAGACACAATACCCTGCCGAAAATGACCCATAGAAACCAATAAGAGAATGAAATGGTTTGTACCGGACTGAATATGTGTATTGGTACTGGTTTTTATCGGGTTCTATATGTCGCCAAATGGTTTTAGGACTAAATGGGAAATACCCAATCAAACCAATTCAAGACAATTATGTTTTCCAATTGATACCAATTCACCAGATTCAAAACTATAAGACCCAATACATTACAACATAAATTCCCATTGGTTTCTATTGTTCTTAAAGGGGCATTTTCGGCAGGGTACTACAATATAATAGAAAAATTAAAAAAACATATTAAATGGTAAATTAATAAATTTTAGTGTTATATATTTTTTCTTGCTTGGTTTTTTAACTCGCATACCTACTTAAATATTTTTTTTGTTAAAGGCTATGCTAATGAGGCCTGAATGGACAGAATGGCATGAAAGCAACGTAGAATTACAGGAACTACCCCAATGTGAGGGGGTTTTTCATTTATTTCTTGAATATTTTTATACTGGAAAGATTCTTATTACCCATACAAATGTTATGCCAATTTTAGCTTTGGCAGATAAATATATAGTAAAGGTAGGTTAAATAAAATCAATTTTATAGGTGTCAATGATTTTTCCTGAAAATATAAGATATAAGTTTAGGGATTACATCATTATTAAATGGTCCTTGTAGTGTTTACAGTCTAGGGGTCCTGGTGTAGGGTAATACAGTAATGTTATATTTTTTGAATTTTGAAATAAAATCAATATCATAGCATATTAAAGAACAAATTGTCTCCATACTATTTTATTTACTGAAGTGTAGTAGGTATCTACTATGCTTCACACATCAAAGTCTTAAAAATTCGGCATTTAAGTCATTTAAGGTTATCTATCTGTCAGTGTTAAAAATAAAAATGATATTACAATTACAATGGTTGATTTAAGAATTTAGAAAAATAAAAACAAATAATAATACACTTTATTGGATTACTCCAAAAGACTAATGACCTTAATCTTTCTGCCTATTTACAATAAATATTCATTAACAACACATTTATAATATCTCTGGTATCTCTTCAATTAACGAATAAATCTTTTGCCTTTTAGGAAAATAATTTAATTTAATAATTTAATGAAATTGAAAGTTTATGGTGCCATATAAGTCATATTTTTGTGCATTTTGTCTACATATCTGATTTTCTCTTTAAAAAAGTTTTAACTAAATAGCATTTATTAAAACAAGCTGGGGTTCTGTATCATAGAATAGGATTATCTGTATCAAACGTAGGTTAATATATTATAAAAAAAATATCATCTAATTTTGTGCATACCTACTAAATAATTATTGAATATAGGTAGTTCAAATTAAATTAAAGCTTTTTTACGACAAAACTTCATGCATACCTACTTAAGTGAGATTATAAGAAAACCTAAACAATTTTTAGGGAACGTGCAATGTGTAAATATTTGATACTACTATAACATGTGATTTATAAAAATTAAACAGTTATAAGGTCCACTTTAAGTTGGGAAACTATCGAATGCAAATATCGAGGTATCGATAGTTTTCAAATGAAAGCCACACTTTCGCACTATCGATATTTTTATAAATATTATCGATAGTAAAATTTATCAATAGTTTCCCACCTCGAGATCCACTTATAATGATTTTTTAATCAAAGGTTTATAGTTGTATTAACAAAACTTTATGTGGGTATACTTTTAGCTGGATTAGAAAAGCTACCACAATTTTTTAGAAGAAATTGTAAAGTAAAAATATTATAATAGTATAATCCTATATATATACAGTGTGTTTACGGATGGACTTAAGTATACTTGTAAAAATATTTATTTTCAATTTTTAGAAGAAAAGTCACTCTTTATAATTTCCTCTGCTTTGTTACATATGTACCATTCATAAACTTTTATTTTGTTATACAGGGTGCGCAAAAGAATACAATTGTAGATTTTGCAGAATTAAAATATGTTAAATATTTTTTTGAAGGTCTAATATGAAGAGCTTGTAAGGAGAAACCAAAAAGCCAAATAAAGTTTTTTCATGTGAGTTGTTGTTACTAAGATATTTGTTATTAAAAAAAAAACAATTCAGGTCCTAACTTAAGTGGTCCTTTTATTTTGTAGAAATTGACGGCTATCTCATTTTGTGATTATGAATCAAGGTTGTTGCTTTCAACTGACATGTCAACAATGTCTACAATTATTTGTTAAAATTTGAAATCTAATATCTTAAATTTCCGATATCAAATATCTATAAAAATAGTATAAAAAAACTCATATGAAAAAACTTTCATATTTTGATTTTCCTTGCCAGCTCTTTATATTAGAGCTTAAAAAAAATAATAAAAAATTTTTAATTTTGAAAATCAGTACTTTTGCTCACCCTGTACAACAAAATGAACGTTTCTCAACGCGAATCGTATTTTTATAACAAAAGAAATTATGAAAAATTACTTCCTCAAAAAATTTAAAATAAATATTTTTACAAGTATAGTTAAGTCCATCCGTAAACACACTGTATATTAGGGTGATTCATTTCCGCAAAAAACTTTTTTTTCCTCGGCGCTCAAGCAAAATATTAATCTACCTATAGAAAAAAAATTTTCACCAAGGTATACCTATAGAGCTCTTAATATCAATTTTAAGTACTTGCAGTTTAAACAAAGATTAAATATACTCTTTCTTCGAAAGATTAAATTCTTCGAAAGAGTATATTTAATCTTTGGTTTAAATTTAAAGTTTTCCCATTTAAAATGCATGTAAAAAATGTTTTTTTTTCAAATTTCTAATGCTCGCCCGCTTTTTACAATATTGTGAATCGGTTTTATGTACCTTATAGGGAATTTCACGCTCTTCAAAATTGTCTTTGTGTTTTTTTGTGTAACTCGTAGTGGTTCGCCAGTAGTAGTCATCAAAGTTCAATTTTTTGAATAAACATTTTTTTTTGCAATTTTTTTTAACAATTCGCAAAAAATAGTGAAAAAAGAGCTGAATCTTAAAAAATAGTCTTTTAACAAATATTTGATGAATTTACGGCCATTTTTATATCTTAAAACGTAAGTAATTGCAATTACATGATAAATATTAACCAATTATGCTATTTAAATTAAACTGTCTTATTTACTATCGATATAATTCTCTACAACAATAACTTTTTCAGAGTTATTATGATTTTTGACTTATAATAAATATAAAAAAACACATTAATTTATAAAAAAAACAACAAATATACAATTGCAACTTAGATTCTGCAATTTTTCAACATTTCCGTAATATAGCAATAAATATAAAGATTAATATTTTGCTTGAGCACCGAAAAAAAAAACAACATTTCGGAAATGAATCACCCTACTGTATATATATAGGATTATATAATATTTTTACTTTACAATTTCTTCTAAAAAATTGTGGTAGCTTTTCTAATCCAGCTAAAAGTATACCCACATAAAGTTTTGTTAATACAACTATAAACCTTTGATTAAAAAATCATTATAAGTGGACTAGAGGTGGGAAACTATTGATAAATTTTACTATCGATAATATTTATAAAAATATCGATAGTGCGAAAGTGTAGTTAGGTAAGTCTAGGGTTTTAAAGGGTCGGAAAAAACCGAAAAAATTGGGAAAAAAACTGTTTTTTTCGTTTTTTTCCCAGGCCTTGGAAAAATTGGCTTTTTTGGGAAAAAATGATTTTTTTTTTAAAAAGTAGCAACTAATATTTTAACATTATTAACTATTTTAATTAAAAAAAATCCTTTATTATTATTATTTAAAAAAAAAATTAACTTAACATTGAATTAAATTAAATTGATTTAAGAAAATAAATGAAAACATTAAATATACTGTTGGTTGGGTCTTTTTTGCAAAAAGAAGTCCATTAAAAATATTCAACTACAAAATAATGAATGATTTATAAAATTAAATTACAAAATTATAATTTTATAAATCAAAGTGTGAAATAAATATGTTGAATATGTTTTTTTGCGGCCCGGTAGAATATTCTTAATCAGCGTCGGAAATTAATTTTTTTCTCGATATCAGTATACGGATAAAAATTTCAGAAAAATTGACTTGCATTTTTTTGTTTTACCCTTTGAATAAAATTTAAAAATAAAAAAGGTTTTTTCCGCGGGCTCAATAATAAAAAAATTAGTTTTAACCAGGACCAAATGTGCAAAACCAGGACAAAACCAGTACACAATTAAAACCAGGACACATTTGCAAAAACCAGAACCTGTCCTGGGTACACCAGGACGGTTGGTCACCTTTAAGATTAATTAATAATTAATTTAGACATCAAGAGGGAAAAAAAGACATTTAAAATTTGTGACAAGAATAAAAAAAAAATAAGGAACAAACTCTAGAGAATAACATATTTTGGTTAATGCTTGATATACATAAATTATGGCTTCATAATAAACTTTTTTAATCAAAACCCTTGCTGGAAATGGGGCAAGAATCCTTGCTTTTCTAAAATGTTAAATTAAACCCAATGAAAAAAATTCGGATTGCCTTATACACTTTGTTTTTTAAATAATTTATATTGAAAAATATAGGTACGCAAATTTTAAAAACTGCTACTTTTATAAAGCAAATTTTAAAATTTAATTTTTGCAGTTCTAGTCCAGATTGTTTTACCTTGTGTATTTTATATTAAAAATAAAAATATTGTTTCAGAGCATATTTTTAATTATGTATCAAATAAATATTAAAAATAATAAAAACAATTTGATCCTTAAATATAAAAACATAGTTTCATAAACTGCCCCTTTTTGCTTTCTAGCAAAAACATTTGCTTTTACATAGAGGATGTATTTTTTAATTTCCTATAAAATGCCTTTAAACTTGTATTATTGGCAAAAACTGTTAATATTATAATACTTATATTCAATTTGAAATATCCATGTTGCCCTTTTGTCCCTCCATTTAATTTTCTTCTATGTTTGATAGTATATTTCTGGGCCCAAAAATAAATAGTGTAAATTTCCTCTAAGAAAAAAAGTCCCCTCTACCTTGTTGAGCCCTTTACCCAAAACCTACTGTTTCTATTTCTAAGATCAAGCACATAATTTAAAAGCAGAAAATAAGTTGAACATGGTTTAAAATTTAAAATTCTTCAAAAGTATTTAAAAAATAAGACAAATATTTTTTAAACACAATTTTAATTTTATTTTATAATCTTTATTATTTATTAAATATTAATAAGTATTTATGTTTTTAATTTAAAAAATAAATCAATAAACATTTTCACCCAAGTTCAATGTTAGGGGTAAATATTTTACAATGAAACTAAAGAAAGCTATAAATCAATTGATTTCAAGTATTCAGCTTTTCAATCAGACAAAAAAACAGCAAAGATATTTGATATAATTAACATGATAGTAACTTTATCTTTAAAAAAATGTTATTTTTTAATTATATCTTTGTTTTAGGTATGTTTACCTTCTGAACTTATTTTTCATATATATTTATAAACAAAAATACTGTCTATTTTTATTCATATTTTAAATCAGTCGTTAACGACTGATATAAATTATATCAACCGTTTTACATTTTAGATGATTTTATTGGCCAAAAAACAAATCTAGTAAACCATGACTTATATTAGAGACTATTTTCTTTGGTTAACCGCAAATGTCACAAATGTCAAATAAATCTTAATGAAATTTTAATTGTTTTATGTCTAATTTAAAATGTCAATTTATAGAAATCGACTTTATATGGAAAATATAAACGTTGAAAAATAATTACCCAATTTATTTTATAAAACAACAGTTTTTAAAGAAAAATACTGCGTTGCCATGTCGTGCAAAATCCTATATCCACTGATATGCTAAATCAGTTGATATAAATAAATCAACGTTTCTGCATACGACCCTTAGATACGTCATAGTTAAGATTTTCGAACGCACTATAAACACGAAAATTTATTAAGAACTAAATAGGGTACTTCATGGTATTTGCGCGAAAAATAGACTAGGTTGAGTAAATGTTTTTTTATATAATATATTATATACACTAGGGTGTCCCAAAAAAAAAGAATATTTTTTTTCTTCTCGTCTCTTGTGAAAATATGTTGGTTTGTCATGTTTTAAGAGCCCTGTCAAAAGATCAGCACCATAAAAAAATTTTTAGGGGTCGCTCAAGATTTTTAAAAATTACCAAAATCGTCAAAAATTGGATTTTTTTTTATTTTAATTTTTTTTATCGTTCCGATATTATTTTTTAATTTAAAAATAATAATGATTCTGAAAATTTCAAATCGATATTTTAATTTCTAAAGGTCGCTCAAGATTTTTTTAACTTTCAAAGTAGAGTATTTTGAACGTTTTCGAGCGACCTCTGAATATAAATATCAACGATCGATTAAAAATTTTGTAGGGGTCGCTCAAGATTTTTAAAAATTTTCAAAATCGTCAAAAATTGAATTTTTGTTTTATTTTAATTCTTTTTCTCGTCTCGATATTATTTTTTAGGTTGAAAATAATAAAAATTCTGTAAATTTCAAATCAATATTTTGATTTCTAAAGGTCGCTAAAAGTTCGAACTTTTAGCGACCTTTAGAAATCAAAATATTGATTTGAAATTTACAGAATTTTTATTATTTTCAACCTAAAAAATAATATCGAGACGAGAAAAAGAATTAAAATAAAACAAAAATTCAATTTTTGACGATTTTGAAAATTTTTAAAAATCTTGAGCGACCCCTACAAAATTTTTAATCGAGCTGATATTTTGAAAGGGCTCTTACAGCATGATAAACTAACATATTTTTACAAGAGACAAGAAAAAAAAATATATTCTTTTTTTTTGGGACACCCTAATATACACAGAAAGAATAGCTTGTTCAATGTTTAACCTATTAAACATTTACCTTGCAAATAGCAAAAGCAACTTATATTATTGTTTTTTAGAGTTTATCACGATTATGTATAGAATACATGTGTAAACATGTACCTCATGCAGCTTCACACAATCAATTGTTTTCCTGGTTGCAATATACGACAGCCTGTGGTCATGACGATGTTGCGGAGACATGTCAAAATTACATAAAATGGAACTTTGAGGCTGTGGCTAATACGCCTGATTATAGTAATTTTGATATTGATATGTTTATTATGATTCTGCAACAAAGTGATATTGTTGTTTACAATGAAATGGTTTTATACAATTGCGTAGTTAGATGGCTTGAATTGCAGAAAATTAAACTGCAACAAATAGGGATTACAGATGAAGAGGTTGAAAAACAATACAAAAACTTGGTTGAAATGATAATGGATAATCTGCGGTTTCCGATGATGGCTCCTAGGGAATTGGCCGACATTTTAATTTCACCTGTAATAAGACACCACAAAGAGTACTTTGTTGACAGAATGACCATAGGTATGAACTATCATAATGGCCACACCGAAAGGTTAGAAAAGTATTATTCAAGTACAAAGGGGGCCCTATTGTTGACGCCTAGACTATATACATCGGATAGTTGTAGTGCCTTTTTAACCATAGAAAATTATGGAAACATACAAAATTACCACACTAGCACATTTGTATTTTCATCGCATGTATCCGCAGCTGAATATGAGTCAAACATTATAAATGAATGGTTAGTGGATTTGTACCCTAAAGGAGTATGGTTTAAAAAATGTCACTTAATAGTTTGGCAAGGGACTTTGGAAGTCCCGGAAAAAATAATACAGACTATTAGACTGTCATTAACTTCGCGGGAGCTACCTGAAACCAACATGCGAGTAAAGGTGTCAGTATTAATATATGGCATGCAAGGTGGGGTGGAACATGTCATGGAGGTCAAAGAAAAAATATTTCATTTCACAGATCAAGATAAAGTCATGAATTTTGATAATTTAATACCATATGAAGACTTAAATAAAATGGCCACCACGTCAGACAATTGGGTTTCCCCATACCTAGTTGGTCCAAATAGAGACCAGTTAAAATTAAATCTTGTTATTGCGCCCATAAGGTAATAATAAATTGTTAATAGATGACAATGTTTTTATAATTGTTAATTAAAAAGTGTTAATATTTTCAATTTTGTATACATTTTCCCTTACCAAAACTACCTCCCTTACTCGATAATTATGGTTTAAATAAAATAACAATATTTTAAAGCATTATCAATATATTTAAAAATCTAACACAACCAAACCAAGCTTGAGCAAAAAGTCAGAATTGACCAGAAATTCAGTTTCATTCATTCAGTTAAAGTTTACACCAAAAAATGGGGTTTTCCCTTACCTACCACCTATTTTCAATGTAAAATTAAATGTTAGCTTTATATTATAACATACCTTATTTTCACGATAAGAGTATAAAGACCGAGTGCATCCGAACTATTTAAGTAACTGAGCATCATTAGATTCTTCTGAAGTAAATTAAATTCAACAAAATCAAATACTACAGCAGCTGTGATGCATCAGCTATAACACAAACATGAAAATACGTTATAATGAACAATATCTTATAAATAATTAAATTAAAACGTAACTAAATATTGAAGTACACATTTCTACCTATACTGCCATGCTAGGCACAAAGGTGGTAACTACAATTTATAAAGGACAAACGTTCAAACAATAGGAATAGTTATCTTTTGAGCGGAAATAACTTAATTTACAAGCGTAGCGAGTGAATTAAATTTCAACACTCTTTTTTTTCGTATTTCAAATGGAAAAGAATTAATTCATAAAAATCATTATAGTTGCCCCTCGTACACAACTAACATCTGTCAGACGATCTGACTACGGTTATGTTCCGTAATTTACTGTCAGTAGGGGAAAAGGACTGTTTTATAATTTAGTTACTAACGCAACAGTGAAATTGGAATCCAACCCCAGTAGCAGAAAGTGACAATGGCTACGCAAGCCCAATGTTGCCAGATGTACGATAAAAATCTTACAAGTACGATAATTTGAACCTTGGTTCAATAAACGATGACTATTTATCGTACGCCTTTAGATAATTGATTGATAATTTTAAAATTCTTACAAATAAAAAAATAAAATTATTATAAAATGTTGCTGAGCTCAAAGTTTGAAGACCGACGCGTAGTGAAGCACATACAGACTTCTTGGCCGAAAGGCATACAACAATTTATCTTTAAGGCACAATTGTTAAACGATACATAAAACGTACAATCATTAAAAGTAGATAGTGATGTTATATTTGACAAAAGTCAATTTTTTATTAGTCCTTATACAAAAATAACGTTTAAATTATAGAACGACTGAAGTAGCTCAGCGCTTTATTAGAAGTATTTTTTGTTTTATTAGGTAAAAATTATAAAATTTGTTTTATCAGTGTCGTTCTTCCTCTTGAAGCGAGTAGTTAGTCGTATTGGCGCGAGTCGTTGGTCGTATAGTGCGAGCGCTCCTAAGCAGGGTAAGCGATGCAAACGCAAGTCCTAATAACGAATCTGAGAAGAAAACCAGTGTGCCTGTTTATGAGTAGCCGTAATTTTTACGTTTTACGTTCGAACATAAGATCTTATGGGTGACCGTAAAAAATACATAAAGTTGAAATCATCTCAACTTTCCGGGTTTTTTATGTGTGAATTTTAGTAATTTTCATGATTTCACTAGAACATTGTTGGTAGCAATCAGGGTAGTAGCCATGCAAACAGATGACAGATCTTTTTTTTTATTAAAAAAACACGTGCCTCAAGACGATCTAAGTTAATTTTTTCGTATAATCATGTTTTTTGGAAATTTTTTATGAAAAATAAAATTTTATTCGAAATATAATTAATTATAGAACCCAAATCAATAAAAAACCAATAGTTAATCGAAATAACAATAGACAAAAATTTAAATTCAAAATTTTTCCCAGTTGATTTGATTTACTAAATAAAAAAATGAAAGATATTCAAATTGATATGAGTGGCATTTTTTTTAAACTAAATAAAATAGAAATAGTAATTTTTTTAGAAAACGCATTTAAATGGTCTATGTTGGGTTTAAAAATGCTGCTAAGGGCAGAAGAAAATCAAACCATCGAGTAACATAAGACTGGTTACTACTAGGGGTGGGCAAAATATTCAATTAATCGATTATTAATTTTTTAAAAATAATCGATTATTTTATTATTAATATTATTTTAAATAACAAGTACATTCTATCAGCATTTTTACTTATACATTATGCCCAATATGTAATTACCTAATTAATTATAATAATTAATTGTTATAATTAAAACAATCAAATATGTAAATAGAAATAATATGACCAGTTGAGTAGCATTTTTTTTAAACTAAATAAAATAAAATAGTAATTTTTTCAGAAGACGCATTTTAATGATCTATGTTGGGTTTAAAAATGCTGATAAAAATTTTAAACTTGTATTGCAAGCATAATATAGATCATAATTATTAAAAAAAACAAGACAATTAATAATTTAATCGATTAACCAAATAATCGATTTATCAAATATTCGATTAATTAAGAATCAATTAGTCAATAATAGATTAATCAAATAATCGATTAATCAATAATCGATTAATCAAATAATTGATTATTCGAAAAAATCGATTATTTTAGATAATCAATAATCGAGTATGAATTTCGATAATCGCCCAGGCCTAGTTACTACGATAGTGCTCAAAATTGTTAATTTCATTTTAAATTTGGGGCATAATTCTTATTAATTTAACTTACAAACCTACAAAATTAATTCATATTGTTGTACCAATTAGATTAAATAAAGTTTTTTTATTAAACCATTTTGCTTTATTTACCTACATGATCCTCAAAACTTTCCATGCCAACTTTTTGGAATTGTCCGAGACTTATTTTACGGACCAAATACAAAAAAAATAACATCGATTGTCTTGTATAATAAATAACTATTGTCCTTCATTACTTCATATTGTAGTTACCACCTTTGTGATTGACACTGCTATATACATACTAGAGGTATACAACAGTTTAATGATTCTATAAAAATCCACTTTTATATTAAATGGAATGTATCACAATTTATGCTTAAGTATACTAAATGTTAACATCGAAATTATCTGTTATAATATGATTCTATTTCATCAAAATATTGTATACTTTATGCTAGGCACTTAGTTTTTAAGGCAATTTTAACCAGATGTTTTTTGTAAATATAATATTCTTATAAACGCATTAAAATTATCTACAAGGTTACAAACAAAATAGTTTGCGCAAATAAAACCATAAAACTCCTCTTAAAAAGTGCAAACCGTTAACTTTAAACTTGTAACTATTTAATTTTAAGAACTTTTAAATATTTTTCTAACCATACAAAGTAAAATATATAAATGTCTTAAATGGACCCTTTGGTCCATTTAAAACATTTCTATATTTTTGTTTGAATATTTTTTAAGTTTATAACATAACAAATAAATAATCTAGGAGTAAAGCTTACAAATTCATCAAACTATTCCTTAAAATACTTTCTGCCTTATTATAATGGAAGCAAAGATTGAGGAAAAATCCTTAGCTTAACGAAATCGTTTAATATTTTCCTAAACTGTTCCACAGTTGGACAGGGAACATCCAATTGGAAACCCAATTTCTTTAATTTAGACCCATCTAATCTCAAATGTTTGTGTAATAACATTTCATGGTCCATATGCGGAGTCAGCGGTGTATTTTCTACGTTATCTTTTCTGCAGGCCTCCGCCCAAGGCAGTACATGCTTGTCGTTAGCGTCATCCGCAGCCCCCACCAAATCTACCAAGGAAGAGATGATACTTCCATAATATTCTATTTTAATATTGAATAGTTCTTTTAAAAGGCTTGATATTGAGCCTTGGGTTGAGTCAGCATCATCAACAACATTGAATATCTGAAAAGATCATATTGCATACAATTCTATTTTTTAAATTTAATCCATGTCAAATAAGCCCAAGTTTTACTTTGACTATAGACCTTTCTGTTTACTGCAGGATAGCCAACAACTTATATAAATATAAATAATTAATAATACATAGACCAGGCGGAGAAAGCTCATATTATAGCCGAGCATACATTTCACTGCCTATGCATTAGATTGTGTGCGGGGAACTTAATAATCTTTTCCGCCTTTAGGATTCTATCACATCATTTTTAGGTAAGGTTTATGTGTAACATTTTAGCTTTATTTTTTACAGCTGTTTACAATAATAATTTGACTTTTGAACTAGTATTAAAAGTCTTTGTTTATAAACTTAGTGTTTGTTAGTTAGTCTTTGTTTATAAACTTAGTGTTATAATAATAGTAAGTATAGGTAACACTCAAGTCTATAGGTAGAGTCTATCATAAATGATTTTCTACTCCTATTGCATATTATTGACATTAAGAATACTTTTTATGTATATTTAGTAATGGGAACATTTATGATTTTTTCTAACTTTTTTTGTTTTATTAAATTCATATTTATTTGTTTCTAATTTATATTTACAGCCAGTTAAGCTGGCATTTCATGGTTAAATGTAGGAATGAGTTTTAACAATAAATGTTGTAAGTCAAATTTCGAAATTTGAGATTATATATTTCTTTTCTCAATAAAGACGTTTATTATATTATTATTATATTATATTATTTGGGTTTATTCCTATACAGTGTGTCCTAGAACTCGTGCCACAGAGAAAAAGGAAACGTGCCGAAAGTAATGCAAAGCACATATTTAAAAATTAGAGTTAATGATCGAAATAATTATAACCCTGTTAAAAATCACCCATAGAGACCAATAGAAACCAATAAAAAATCAGAATGGAATGAATTGGTCTCTATTGGGCCTATTGGTTTCTCAACAGAATGAGCATTGGTTTCTATTGGTAATTTTCGTACTGGAAAATGCCAATAGATTACCTAATGGTCTGAATTGGTTTTTATAAGAAGTTACAAGTACAGGAAATTCCCAATTGAAATTCAATTGGTAAATACCACTTAAATGTTCAGCGCCTGCGCAATTTAATACAAATGGCCACTTGTTTCTATTGGCAATTTTCTTACTGGAAAATACCAATAGATAAACTAATGGTCTGAATTGGTATTTTATCGGTGTGTAGGTACAAGGAACCCTATTGGTATATACCACTTTAATATTGATTTTCAAAATTCGCCAATAGGTAGGCAACCCATGCATACCTCTCGCCTCTGTAGCACAATACATAGGCCTATAAAGGTGGAATGCCTTGAACTGCTAAGTAAGAATTCCTTACTAAGGCAAAATTACTGGCCATGGAAACGCCTGGCGTTTTGAAATTTTTAAAGGGGCACAGGTCGTCCTGTGGCCCACTCTGCGAAAAGTAAGCAGTGGGCCCCACTACTTACTTTTAGCAGAAGCTATTTATAAAATTTAAATTAAATGTTCAACAGCACTATTTTTGAGAAATTATTTAACCATCAAAACACGTAATTTTTTACCTTAAAGACGTCTAAAATGGATAGTGGGGACCAATTCAAACCAATAGCGGTACCTCTGGAAAATCCAAATAGCTCTATTGGGAATTACCAATAAAATATATCTATAATATATCTATTGGGAATTACCAATAAAATACGATTAGTCTCTATCGGTCTGTATTGGGATTTTCCAGCGGTGTCGCTATTGGTTTGAATTGGTAATTCATGGTACAGATACCACTATTGAGACCAATTCAAACCAATAGAGCTGCCGCTGGAAAATCCCAATAGCTTTTCTATTGGTCTTTATGGGTGATTTTTAACAGGGAAAGTTCGTAAAGAACGTGAAAAATACAAAAAACAGGCGCAAAAATATCTGCGGCAGTGCAGCTGATACTTTGACGGGAGAAAGGATATAGCCAGAGTACAGATTAAAAAAGAATATATTTATAAATATAATATTAAACTTCTTCAAAGCAAAAGGTGTATTAAAGGATTTTTCGTAAGTAATAGCATAATAATAAAAAATTCGTCATTTATCAGAAAATTTCGCGTACCCGCAATAAACATGGAAGCAGCTATAGCAGTATTTAATGGGGTAATGATGTTGAACATGCATGGTTAGAGCCTCCAATTTTAAAACAAGTCTCCGATAAGAACTTAAAAAGTTTCATTTCAAATGAGGGACTAAAAGATGTGTAAAACTGGTCTGCATCTCTTGTTTGTGGAGAATAAAGAAGGGATGGATTGATAAGATCTCGACTAGAATCTAGACAAATTATTAAATTTTTTAACAGGAAATCAGAATTTAGATTCCAATAAATTTAATTTCTATCCAATTTATTTTTGTGGATAATTTGCGAAAATTTTTGTTTATGTATTAAAAATTTCTGAATTGATTTTTTAGTTTATTTGTTATAAATTTGATTCAACCTATCAACATAAGAAAATATATAAATGATAAGGAAAAGTTTTATTGTTTGGGGCACATCCAATATTTATGAAGAAACTTAGTTTTGAAACAAACTAAAAAACTTAATTTTTCAAAAAAATGTTTTTTTTTCTTTAAATAGGTACCTACCCATAACTTTTTTAAAAATTACCTTAATGGGTCGATTTTTTTTAATTTTTTGATTTTAAATGTACTTTTCAGAAAAAAAAATACAACAAAATTTCAATGTCATAATTTTTTTTAGTTTTTTTAGAAAAACAATCAATTTTTCAACTTTATGCCTCTTTTCTTTCTATTTTGTCTTATTGAATTTTTTTTTTTAAATTTGTATTATAAAATAAATTTAAGTAAATTAACTTAACCATTGTTCTATGATATTTTACCTTTATTTTATAATCTAACCTAATAATTAATGATAAGGATTACAAAGATGGTTGTCTTTTTGTCCAAAATTTTTTGAATTCAAATGAGTATAAAATATGTAAATTAAATAAACGCCAAAAGATACGTTATTTATTGTGGCAAATAAAATATAAATAAATACCAGTGAATTCGGACGAATTTCGATAATTAAAAAAAAAACTAGTGTCTTATCTATGGATTATAGGACACTAGAGTGTTATGACCTTTATAATGGGTCACAAACCAGTATGTGAATTGTGGATAAATAAAATAAATCGTTTGTTGAATTGGTATAAAAAAATTGTTAATTGTACTAATCATTATGATTAAATCATAAAATCATAATCATTAGGTTAGATTATAAATTAAGTGAAAAATACTATCAAAATTGTTATAAGAAAATAAATAAACGATTGGGAAGATTTAAAATAAATTTTTAGTTAAAAAAAGTAGAAATAAAAGCCCACTCTGGATTTAGCAGCATTATTCGCAGAATTAATCAAAGTTGTTTTTATAAAAAATAAAATAAAAAATGGCGTTTTATGAAAAATTTATGGTTTTTCTCAAGAAACTAAAAAACTTAATGGAATTTCACATCAATAAATTTTGTTGTATTGTATAAGGGAGTGATTTTTTAGCTGATTTTGTTAATTTATTTAACTTCTATGAAAATTCAAAATCTTACCTAATGCAAATAAATTGTTAAAAAGATTGTAAAAACTTCAGTGTGGTCAACCCAGGCTGATTTGATGTGGATTGGCCAAATAGAAACTTACCTGTCCAATAGTGTCCTCTCTGTTTAAAACAAACCATATAGCCCTACATACATCCAAAACATGAACAGTGTTTATTTTTAAATCTGCACTCCACAACAACTTCATTGTCTCGCCCATGTGCTTATAAATAGATGCAGCCATAAGTCTTGGGGTCAGACCAGTCTTATCTCCAATACCATATACAATCGGGACTCTTAAAATTGTATATTTTAGGTTAGGAATGTCATTTAGTTGTTCTTCCACCTTAAATATTGTATTATTAATATTTATTTTAAAGTAAAAATTTTATTTGTACCTTCTTCTTCCATTTTGCCACCATTGTCCATGGTTCCACAGCAGCATCTTCCTTAAGGGGTGTTTTTTCATTTGAATACATGTTCCCTGAAGATAACTCAATATAATGTTTAACATTGTGATTGGCAGCTTCATTGGCACAATTAAGACTTAATTTGAGTATTCCTTCATTATAAACTGGATCAGTGTGGCCAGATTTAGTCTCCCCAGCACAATTTATTACGAAATCCCATTTAGAATCTGTTTTAAACGCGTTTTTGCAGGATTCTTTAATAAAATATTTATTAATTTTGTTGTTTATAATTATAACTTAGTATAAATACCTGGATTAATAAGATTGGCACTTTGGTATACAATTTCATTGTTAAAGTAATTTAGTTCATTTTCATTTAGCCATGCTACCTGGGGTGGTACTTTATCCACAACTCTTATGGCACTTGCTAGGTCATTATTAATTAAGTACGAAACTAAATTTCGGCCTACAAAGCCGCAACCTAAATAAAAGTCCAATTATTTTAAGGTTATGTGTTACATGTTTTAACAAATGAATAACGTCAGGTGCTCACTTACCTCCCAAAATTAAAACTGTGGGTTTTTCCATTTGGAGCTAATTAAGAAAAACTTTGGTTGTAATAAGAACACAGATTATAAGAATAAGTATTTTCCTTTTGTGTGGAATTAAGTCGCCGCTATATCATCGAATGATGTCACCATATAACAAATATGTCTCTTAAATTTATATGTATGTACAGAACGGAGTTGCGGTTTCCGCGCTGGTTTCCTTTTCGATGAGTCAGTAAATTGTACACGGCATTAATTTAAAAAAGTAGAACAATGCCGCATTGTCAATGCGCCTTGTAAATAGATATTTCTGCATCTTAACAATTAACTAATTAGGCACACTTAATAATAAGGTAGGTAAGTATTATCTCCATTTGAAGAGTTTTCATAGAATGTCTTCAAAAATGTAATAGGTAGGTAATGTGGTAATATGATTTTGTACGAGTCGTAGAAGCTTCTGTCCCTATAGGGACACAGCACAAAAAAAATAATTTTGAAATTATTATTAAATTAAATTATTATATTAATTATTTGAAAGTTATATACCTATGAGGCGCCATTTGTGTCAAAATTAAAAGCGCAAAATAAACTTATTTTGCTTTATAAATAATTAATTCCCAGTAAGCACCAAGCACTCGGCAAACAGTCGGCTTTCGCTCGGCATAGGCGGTTGACCGGCGTTTCGGCTTGCCCCAGCCGGCCCGCGTTATTTTACCCCGGTTCCGTTTGGCCATGTTCTAAGTCGCCTAGAATACGGCATGCCGGCTTGCCCTAGCCGGCCCGCTTACGGCTGGAATACGGCCTGCCGCGGCATAAGCAATACATCTCTCACGGCTGCTTACGCAAGCGAGCTAACTATAAATAGCGATGGGTTGCAATATTTAGTTGGAAGTGTGCGCCTGTACCCAAATAGCACACGACCTCCCAAGGACATCCTGATTGGGTCTGTCCGGGCCAGTTTAGGATATCCCATTTCTGACGTACCTTGGACGTCCATGGGACGTCCTGAAATTAAATTGGGTATAGTATATTGGGTATCCCATTTCTAACGTACCTTGGACGTCCATAGGACGTCATAGAATTAAATTGGCAATAGTATACCATATATATTAGGGTGTTTCAAAAAAATCGACTTTTTCTTTTTCATCATATGGTCGGCAAATTCTTTCAGAGGATGTCAACACAAAGACCTCGTCAAAATTTGAGCTTTTAATTTGAAGATTTAGAGGTCGCGGATCGCAATTTTCTATTTCCCATTTAAATAACATGGGAATTTTTTTTTTAACTTTGAAATTTTATACGTCTGAATCGAATAAACTTATGTCAAGGATCATCTTAGATTTTTATAGTAAATTTAACGCTCTACAAAAAAGGTCTCCTATCATTTTTCTATAAATTGATAGTCCGGTCAAATTAGACCAAAATATAACAGTGAAGGTACCTACATAAATTTACAACAGGCTGAAAATCAGTAAAATTGTTCAGAATATAATTATAAATAAAATTTTAAAGTTCCCCATCATTCCCCTGCATGGAAAAAATTTTATTCAAGGTCAAAGGTCAAAAAAATTAGTTTTTCGCGATTTTCAGCAAAACGGGAAGTTTTATCACAAAAATTGTAGATCATAAAATTGTCTATAAAAAATATATCAATACTTTTTTTTCTAAGAGCCACCGTTTCTGAGATATAACGATTCGAAAAGTTGTAATCGTCATAATATACATGAGTACGTCACGTATATACATCTCTAGAGTTTTAATATATGTTAAAATATTTTTCTATCGGTCATTTTCACTTACACTTAAAATATAAAATATACCTACCTACATAAGTTATAACTATAAGAATATCAAGTGAAATAAAACCCAGTCCCTTAAGGAACTGGGTATAAATTAATTAATTTATACGCCATCGAGACAACATCTGTGACAGATGATCTGTCATCTGTCAACTTGACATCTGTCATCTGTCACCTGTCATTTGACCCTGTCATATGCCACCTGTCATTTGCCACCTTATCGATTTGATTTCGGGGATTTTAATTGGTTAACTTTTTTTCGAAAATTTCTCTTTACCTAAAAACCGTTTAAAATTTTTTCGAAAAAAATAAAAAAAGATCGAAAAGTTTCCTGCGGAATATTTTTTTTTCCGTTGTCTGCTAGTCTGTATATCCTTTTTTTTCTAAGCGCCGTAGCTCAGAGGCCGTTGAAGGCGGACACTCGAAATTTGATTCCTTTTTTCTGCCCACGAGACCTATCCGCGGACCAAATTTTTCCGGTGTTGAAAAGGCCCAAGTCCACTTTTTTTCGATTTTTCCGTAAAATTTGGCACGTTCCGTTGTCTTCGAGCAGAGATTTTTCGGCCAAACTCGAGGAAAAGGTGCTTCGGGACAAGAAGTTATCACCAACGGCATTCGATTTCTTCTTTCTATATACGGAGCTCCTAAGAAACTACCTGCTTTGATAAGTATCGATATGCATGTTTCGTTAAAAATACTAAAATAAAAAACAAGTTCAATTAGCTTGTCTTCCTCCAACCTCAGTTGCTGCTCATCAAAATCTTTTTCGGGTATATTACCAAGTTCAATTGTGGCTTGGTTATCAGCTAGACCCTACAGACTGGGGTTGGAAGTTGGTCAACAACCCATTAGAACCAGTTCAAACTTTACTCCCACCTGCGCCGGAAAAAATGCTGAACACAATTTTTTGCAACTGCAAAAAGGGAAGCAGTGCTAAATGTGGTTGCAAAAAAGTCGGACTGTTTTATTCTCTGGTATGTACGAATTGTCAAGGCCGGTCGTGCTCTAATGTTGAATCACCAACAGCCCAGTAAGCACACAAACGTCCCTGGGACATCCAAATTTTGTCAAAACAGACCGACGCGACCTGGCCGTTCTAGGGACAGTCAAGTAGGACCACCTTATGCTGGTCATTTACAGAACGCCTAAGGATATCCTACGGATGTCCAATAAAGTTTTATTAAAATCAAATCAAAGAGCATGACTCCCCAAAAACAATAGTATCATCTTTATAGTTACTTTTTTATAACAACTTTATACCTTAATTTATAAATAAGTATAAAAAGGTAAAAGATAAATTTAAATAATTTCATGTAAGTAATTGTACGGTGTAGGGACCAGACTCATTAGGTTAGTTCCAACCGGCAGTAATTTTCAGTAATATTACTGACACACATGCGCATTTGTATTTCCATTATTTAAACACGCTTTAAAAAAAGTAAGAATAAAGGAAAAACATTTAAAAATAAATTATTTTGTATTTTTTTCTCTATTTCGTTCAAATTAATTTAAAATACTTTTAAGTCTAAAATAATATTGTGTCAGTAATATTACTGCGGTTGGAATGTACCTATTACCGTACGTAATTCCCAACATTCAAATTTTAAGCAAAAAATTCTAAATTTTCAAAATAAATTTACAAAACTTAAGTTAAAAATGTACAAAACTTATGTTAAAAATTTGTATCTGTTTATAATTTTTTAAGTTTCATGGCGCTCACTGACCTCTGGTGGAGTCTTACTAAAGTGCCCTACAATACCGACTTTTTTTAATGTAGGTATTTTATTCTTTTATGTTTTTATGTATATTGTTGTTTCTTAAATATTTATGTATTTTATGTATATTGTTATGTTTCTTAAATATTTTTAATAAATTTATTTCTTAAAAGGGTAAAAAAAGATGAACAATTTTTTTTGAAGATTTATTTATATTCATCATTTTTACAAAATATTACTACCCTTTTTATTCCAAAAAATTCGCACCCCCATTTAGTAAGTACGATCCTGCGAGCTATAGTACGGTAATTTGAATTACGCGGTACCGACTATCGAATTCAAGTTGGCAACCCTGGCGCTGCATTAATGTACCATGAGTCTCGTGGCACGTGTTAAAATCAGTTTTGTATTGTTTTGTGGTTTGGAAGTTTAGTTAACAATAGATACAACTTTAGTTTACATTTGTGTGCCTTTTATATTTAATGAAGGTAGGTATGTATTAAATAATATATATTTCTGAGCAAATTATTGTTTTTTCTAGTAAATTTATAATTAACCATAATGCATCTCTTCGAGGTGCCGCCCGATTAACGACAAAAAAAGCTTTCCTCTTTTTTATTGATGCCGTTATAAATTAATATAATTTCTTTAAATTGCATAACTATAGTATAACTATTATATTTCTTATTGCAGTTTCGTGTTGTATGGTCTTCACCTGTTGCTTGTTTTAAATAACCTCACTTTATTTATTCATTTAGTTAAATAAATACCTATATAGGTAGTTATATTTATTTAAAACAATAATTTAGCATTTTAAGTTCAGAAACAATTAAATTTATTTAAAAAAAGATACACCTTGTTTAGTTTACCATATATATGCTTATATAAGTTTATTAATAAAATTGATATTATGTTAACCTATTCTATAAATTCCCAAATTATGTAAGGTACAATTCGGATTACCCTGAATATTTTTATTTCATTTATTTTTTTATCAGAATTGTAGTTTTTGTTACAAAAGATGTTAAAAATAAATAGATAATAAAAATAAATATATTGTATTTTTATTTCTCCATGCGGATCGAATTATAACGTCCATAGAGAGGCCTGAAGTGGTCGCAGTAGGACCTAAAATGGAGGGTCTTAGGAAGTCTTTTTTACTATCCTTTGGTTGTCATCAGACATCCCAGGGACGTCCTACAGACGCTGTCGAATGTCCTGAGTCCGTCAGGTATAACCCAGGAAGACGTCCTGCGTACGTCCCTGGGAGGTTCCAGTGCTTACTGGGAGTGGAGGATTCATTTAATTCCAACGAGGTGACATGCGATACATCGCTACTAACGCAATTTACTTGTACCCAGGATGAAGATGAAGAAGAACAAGAAGAAGAAGAACAAGAACAAGTAGAAGAATAATAAGAAGAATTTAAATGTTACGAATCAGACTAATTAACTTCGGTACTTTTTTTTAATTTACATCGCTTTTATCTTCTCCAATCATTGCTAATTTCCGTTATTTTGCAATAGTTTCAAATTAAACAGGATCACAACTGACCCGTGGAATAGGCTACTGGGGAAACCACGTTAAAAAACGCGCTAAGTACACTACCTCATAGGTGGCGTGGAAACGTGTGCATATTATGACGATTAAAACTTTTACAACTTTTCGAATCGTTATATCTCAGAAACGG